CTTATCTATACCATTATTATTATTATTAGTCACATATTCCTTTTCTGTGGTTTTTCATAATATTGCTTCACCAAAAGGGAACATTGTTGATACATATATGTATGAAGAGTCCTTGGATTGTGTAGAATTCTTTTAAGAAACTATTGTTTACCTAAAAACAATTTTAAATAATAATTTAAAATAATTATTATTATTTTACTCAGGGAAATTATTAACTGAGTTTAAGAATTTCACTCAGTTAAATTATTTACTCAGTTAAATAATCTGAGTCTTTAGGGGCTGAGGAGGCTGCTTGATGTCTATGTCATACCAATTACATATTTCAAGTAGCTGTAGTTGCTAAAACTGTACTTTACTTATGAGAAACTATGACTATCCCCACTTCCTTCTCTTTTCCCGCAGTTCTGAACTTCACCACATTAAAATCAGTGCAGAAGAAACAGGAAGTCAGAACACAAGTCAGCATTTTTCAAGCACAATGAGTGGGTCAAAAAGGAGATTTCCTTTCCCGGGAAAGGCTTTTGTTGAGCTGATTTGGTTAGCATTGCTTCTGCACAATTAAAAGACAAAAACTTAAGACAGGTTTCCTTCAAAAATGGCTTATCTAAAGCTACTGTACACCCTAAAATATATTCAGAAATATTTTCCATTAATGATTCAGAGGAAGAACATGCATGTTAGAAAATTAAAGATATGTATAACAATCTATAGTGGAATTTCAAGAACAAGCAAGGTGCTTTGAAGATTGAAATTAAATTATACATAATCAAAACTGAACTATAAACATCATGAAACCAACCACATTACCAAAAAAGAAATTATATTGAGATACTGTATCTGCTAGACAGATGGTATCTTATAAGACAAGTTCTTCAGTGTAAGTTAGTTCACCATTTTTCCTTCGTAATATGCTTTGTTGTTGTTGTTTTAAAAGAATCTAGTGGAAAGTATAAATGTGATAAATGTACACAGAAGCACAACATGCATTTATATTGGTAAGTGCATTCCATGAAGTGTACTTTGTGATAAACCAAGTATTGTTGAGTTTAATATATAAAGCAAACCAATGGTAGCCTATTAATGAATCTGATATCGGTGGTATCGGAAGGTGTAGCGGTGTAGCGTTTAAGGTACCAGGTTAGAAACTGAAAGACTGTGAGTTCTAGTCTCAAACTTAGGCACAAAGCCAGCTGGGTGGCCTTGGGCCAGTCAATCTCTCAGCCCTAGGAAGGAGGCAGTGGCAAACCACTTTTGAAATCTTGCCAAGAAAAGTGCAGGGACTTGTTCCCGCAGTCACCAGGAGTCAACACTGACCTGAAGGCACACACACATGGAAGCCTCAACAAATAACTTCTTCCTGTCTCACCCTGAGCCATCTGACATGTAAGCTCAACTTTAAAAATACCAAGAAAACTCCATAATCATTTTACAACCCAGATTAGAGAGCTTTGTTCAATAGTTACAGCCAACTGCAAAGTACTTACATATTTCAGTTCCTTTTACTTAAACAAATCAGCAGATTCTAAGACAATAGATAAGCTGTATTTATTTTTGAACTATGATAACAACATGTTCCATTAAGAGGGTTAATAATATCGAAATATGAAATATGATAGTATCCTCTAAATTATTTAGGCTGGCTACACAAATCTCATTAAGCCATGATTTGTTTAAACATGTTTTTCTGAATAAATCACAATCAGTAGCAATCATACAATATGCAAACCCATAAAATACCATGCCCCCAGCCTCGTTATTTTTTATCTCCATTCCCTATAATTTCTTGCCAAGGTAATTGAAAGCTCAACTGCTGATCTGCCTTGGTCAAGAAATGTCTTTGCCCCGTGTAATTAAAGTCTGTATAGCTGGCTATATGGGAGCAAGCAGCACCATTCTACAGATTCAGTGAAGAATTCCAAGGATATCTGAGACTCAAAGGTACTTGTTTAACCCAGGCTGCCTTGAAACAGTTTGTTCATCATAAACCGCTTGTTCAGCCTTCTTTTCTAAGAAGGGCCATGCCACGTTCAGTTGATCATACTATCTGCAGCAGGAGACAGCCCGCTATCTTTCTAGGCGGTGTTTTTGGAGAATGTTCTCTTATCTCAGCCAATATGCTGCATCATCTTCAGTTCCCTATATTTTACAAAAAAGCAGAAAACAATACTAGGTTGCATAACTGCTGGGCTGCTAAACTTATTTAAAAAAAAACAAAAAAAAACCTTTGGCTGTTGTGAACCACCTTAGGCAGCTTTTAGCTGCAAAAAGGCAGGATCAAAATAAAGATGCAAGGGGCACCTCCAAGCCCTGTTAACTGAAAGGAAGATATAAAAACGTTTTTTAAATCCTCAGTTCTATAGTCAGATGCTGTTCTCGCTTTACATTAGCCATCCAATTCTGACAAATTTATTCTGAGGAACTAGCAGTTAAGTAGAAAGAGAGTTAATATTTATTTTTCTTCCTTACTGATAAGATTTAAAAATATACCTGAATTTCAGAAAAGGAAATGTATGAGTTGCATAAACAGAAACCAGACTGGGATCTCAGCAGAAATTAAGTAATAACTTCCTACTCTACGATTACAAAACAAATTTGCTGTATTTAATGAAGGTGCCAGGGCATTTTAAACTACTGAACCATTCCAATCAAGCTCATTAATAACTAAAGGAGAAGGAACAGTGTCATACAGTGCCCACCAAAATGTCTGACATCATAAGCCTATTCAATTTCACTTACACATCACCATATAAACACATTCAAGTACCAGAAAAAAATCCTACGCAATTTAGGCTACACTAACATGATTGGGCATAATCTTATAAATTTGTAACATACAGGTAGCTGCACATTCTTCGTAACAAAAGAATTATCTGCCTTTAAAACCTATTCTTAAAAGATTTATTCCTTAATTTGCTCAAACGGTATTTTCCTGAGTCTCCAAAAATACGGATACCTTGACAGCCACCAAAATCCAGCCTCTACCTCATTCCCAGTTCAAGTATCTGACTAGAGGTGAGACAGAAAATATTATCTAAGAGAGCTAGTATACTCCCTTCTATTGACACCACAGTGAAATGGCATAACTATAGAAGTGAACATTGAGTACAGCTACATATATCTTCCATCCTGAAAATGATCTTTGTTTAGGAGCTGAAATACCTTAGCTGTATACACAATACATTTGTAAAATATGCTGTCTACAGACCCAGAAAAGCAAGAGCATTCAATTTTGGGTTTCAAATGAGAATATTCTTTTAGAAAGAAATGCATTGTTAGTGATTACATTGAATAGACTTTAACAGGGTTTTGATATTGTCCTGAAACTTTCTCTCAACTAGTAATAAACAGCACAATGAGCTCTCTCATTCATGACCCCTCATGTCCATTTATCCTCTTGCTCATATCATTTAAGAAACAAACAGGATAATGGTAGTAAAGGAGGAATCCACATATTTGTGGACATGTGAAACCAAAATCAGCATTCAGAACATACTTAAAAGTATGACCAAATGAAGGTTATTGATTAAATTAACTCCATAATATGCACCTTATGTTTTAAAAGAATCAAGCCAAAGAAAGAAAGACCTTGACTTTCATAAGTGAAATACAGTTCTTTTTCTAAAACTGATCCTGAAAGTACATTATGATGTAATGATAAAGATGTTGGACTAAGACCAGAGAAACCCAAGTTCAGGGCTTCCTCACTAGATGACTTTGGGTCACACACTTTCATCTCAGTCTGTACCATTTATTTATTAGATTTAGCTCCTGACTTTTTGCAGGGACAAAATTGGAGGAAGGAAATGTTATGAGATAAAGCAGAATATAAATCTAACTCATAATGAATAATTTAACAAACCAAAGAATAGCAACTACTGGAAGTGCTCAAACTGGGATACAATTGTGAATAAAATGAGCAAAGGGAAACAATATTCCAAAGAAGATTAGTTTCACAAATACTAAGGACTCACTAAAAATACATCTGAATAATTGAAAAGAATCATTGCTGAGAAGTGTGCATTATTTAAGTATTTGATTCAGCAGGTTGTTGGTAGTTATGCAAAGCTTGATGCCATGTGATCACATCTCTTAGCGATGGCAATCCAAGTAAGGAGCAGGGGGTGCTGCAGGGGGGTGGGAGAGGCCTTGGGAAGCCCAGTGCAAGCTGCATGTGAGTTGGGGGAGGGGGTCCTACAGGAATGGGTGTGCATGTGCAAGCACAGGCAGGTCCAGGAAAAGAGGGCTTGGGTGCATGCGTGCGAGTGCAGGGAGGCCTGGGGAAGGAGGGTGTGGGGTGTGTGCATGCAAGCACAGAGAGGCAGGGAGAATTTACCAGAGCAACTTGCAACCTTTCCTGCCAGCGTCCCCATTGACTTTGCTTGTGGGAAGCCAGTAGGGGAAGGTCACAAATGGCTATCACGTGACCGCAGGATGCTGCAACAGCAGGAACTTCGAGGACCACTTGTAAGTACCCCTTGTTCAGCACCACTGCAACTCTGAACAGTCGATGAAAGAGTGGTCGGTAAGCAAGGACTACCTGTATACACAGATCACGTCTGTATGTCCTGCTAAGCCAAGCATGACAGTGAGTGTGGGGTAAGGTGCTGGGGAGTGCTAGACAATATCCATTTGCTAAACCCCAGATGACATGGCCAGCTCTTCTTTGCCCTACATTTTGTTGGGTTTCCCAGTTACTTTCGTAGCGAGTGGCTGCTCAACATGCCTGGTTTTTATTTTTTTACCCTTAAAAAAGAGGGGGGGAAAAACTATCTTGGCTCATTCATAATTAGTGTCAATAGAATTAGAGAAAGCTAAGCGTTCTGCCAGCCCCACATACAATAATATGAAAATGGAGACCTTTATGGAAATCCAAAATGGGATGAATACTTTTTCCCAAAGCCACATCTCTGATGGTAACAGCTGTTAGCACCATTGCATTCATACAAATGTATTCTACTTTTCCACAGTGAAATCAGCAAAACAATGCTTTACTTTCTTACCTTTAAATTTGGATCGAATATTTGCCAGTTCTTTGTTTATTCTTTTAATCTCAGCTTCTTTGCTTTTACCTGAAAACACAGGAAAAAAAACACCCTCATTTCAGAGTACAGTTGGTAAGACAAAGAACAGCTCCTAACATCACAATAATCTGGAAGGCAGCGTTTTTCAAACTTGACAACTTTAAGATGTATGGACTTCAACTCCCAGAATTCCTCAGCCAGCATTTTGCCCAGGGAGTTCTGGGAGTTGAAGTCCATACATCTTAAAGTTGCCAAGTTTGAACAACACTGGTTTAAATCCTAAACTTCTTTCTCTCATCCTTTTGTAACAGACTGATTGCAACTCCCTTCATGTTTCTGCTATGCTGCCTCTCTGGCTTTTCTTCACAAAATGGTCCTGTCTTGAGCCCAGGCTCTGCCAATAGTAACCCTTGATTAAAATTTGGAGACTTTTGTAACAGAAGATGAAGAAAAGAAAAATAATTTTACTAAGAGACAGGGAATGACAGGACATAACAAGACCTTTTATAAATGAGACAGTGACAGCATACAACAAAATGTAACAAAAATGATGGGAGTCAAGCCACTTATAATGGATAATAAGTGTGACTGGTAAACTTCCCACCAGATAGATGAGATTTGCAGAAATTAATTCCAGCTTCTTGCTGGACATGTTATGCTGGCCAATTGCAAAAAACAAACAAATAAACAAAACAAAAACAAAAAACTTTGGCCGAGACCATGATTAAGGTAGAAAGACAAAATTCACATTGTCTTCCATTCCATGGAGAATTGATAAAGCCATGCCAGATATAATTATTTCACTTTACTGAAAAACAGTAATGATATAACCCAGCTATAATTATCCATGCTTGGATAACTTTGCAGATACACAAGAGTTATATATATGAGTTGCCTCCCGGTCTCCCAGTTTCTAGCCTGGTGCCTTCACCACTACACCAAACTGGCTCTCTATGCCATCATTATTGCCCTTTCGTTTTATTCCCCTAAGGTTTTTTAATGCATTTTTCTCCCAATATTTTCTTTTAGTTTGATAAGCCACCTAGACAATGTTGAAAGGCAACGTTTAAAACATCTCAAATACAGTGAAACTTTATGCTGCAGAACTCTCACACACAGCAACTAAACTTCCTACAATTGGTGATGTTGACTCAATACTTATTGTATAAACACCAAATGTAATTAATACGCTTTCCCTCAATAGTTTTAGTCATTTTGCACAGATTTCTCTACATTACCAGGAAAATGGAATCAACATACTTATATCAAAAACAGCTTTTTTCCACTCCAGGCTGGAACAGTGACCTTCAAACCTTGAATACTTCTGATTAACAGAAGGCTTAGGCACTTCCTTTGAAAGGTCATTTAAACAGATAGGAATGTCCAGCGACACTCTTTCTACAATGTTACAAGAATGAGTGCAACTAGGTATACTGTAAAAAAGACAACAATGCCTTTCATTTTCCTACAATGCGTGAACAAAAAAAAACAAAAGAAGAATCCCTTGCGTGCCACAACGTATTCCTCTCAGAACAACTCCAGCATGTAATGCACCCAAATATGAAAGCAAAGCTGGCATCTCTATCTGTACATTTACAAACTGGGGAACGTGCGGTGTGCAAAATCAGGATAAGCTCCAGTTTCTCTGGACTCCTGGCAAGAAACAATCTTCCCTACATGCATACCTCATGTGGTATCTGTTGAAATGGCATGAAGAACTGCATGTGCCTTCACGCCAATTTTAAAGGCTCTAAGCCTTTAATTTGTTCAAAGAAAAGTCGTATTTTTAGCAAAAGAACTGGTTGGAGGCTATAAAAGGTAGCTGAAAAAGTGAAGGATATAATGGTGTAGCGCACAGGTCATGTTTGTTATTATTACTTCACAGAAGCCAATAAGACTATGTCATTCAATGTTATATAGGTATGATCCAGGCTCACAGAAAATGCCCAGTGTACACTTGCATTAAACAAGGACTTACATCCTACTTTGTGAACTATGTTCTTGGGAAGTGATTGGTTTGTAAAAATTACTTCTTGCCATGAGTTCGATTCCATTTTAAGTCTTGACTGATTAATAGGTTATTGGGTTCTTAGTATTCCCCGAGGTTGCTTTTCCTCTTGCTGATGTTTCATTACCAGACAAGGCAACATCATCAGTTCCTAGCCTGGAAACAAAATGTCTGCAAGAAAAAAGCAAGCTCAGAGAACACAAAGAACACAACAATTCAATTCCGAGCTACGTTCTCCAGAATCGCCGTTGATACATCTTGCATCATAATTTTAGTCATTGCAAATCACCCTGACGGAGGCATGGCTGCTTACAGCTGTTAATTATACCATCTTTCTTTAAAAGCATTTTTTTTTTAAAAAATGCACAAGTGCACAATAACTGTTATTCACTCCTAATTTATTCGTTCTAGAAGCTACAGTCCGTAGAAGTCTGAAAGACAAGTCATTCCCTGGCTCCTTTGGGGTTTATTTTGCGTAATTTGCTCTCAGCAGCACAGAACACGTTTTGCCGAGGCGCTCCCTACAGGGTGAAAAACAGAGGAAGCTCTGTGATGCAGTACAGATGGCCAGTCCCTTGTCAACAGCAAACTACCAAGTGTAGAGAAATCCATGACTGCTTAGTTCAGCTGAAAAATCCGTTTTCAAGCTGACATGAAATAGGCTTTTGCAGAAAAGCTACCAAGTTCACACCAATAGTCTGCCCATTTCACTCTTGGCAACAGGGAAGGAAAGCAATTTTTAAATACACTGCCTTTCTGGGTAAAAAAAACAACTTCAATGGTACTCAGTTCAACTTCAGATTAAGCAAGTACAATGGAGGTTCAGAAGTTCAGCGAATCCGTTTAATCTGATTCTACAAACAAGCTTCTTCTCCGCTCGTTTGTAAGTTTCAATCATTATAAAGAATTGCAAGTACATATTTTAATTGGTGTAGAACAAACTAGCCACAAAAAAACCAAGTGCTGATGACAAACCAGTGCAAACACTTCAGGGTCTCTCAACTCAAACTCTGAACTGCAGCAGAATGACTAAATCTAGGAAAAGTCTAAAACAACGGAGTTTATGGCCACTCCAGCAGATGCAGCAAGTCAACCTACTAGGAGAGAAAAGCAGTGGAATGTTTCCAATAAGCAATGTTTGCCTTTGCTGTTCTCTCCATCAGGTCAAGGATAGGCCCTAATCAACTAAGATCAAAGAAAAACCACAATGTATTTTCAGTTAGAATCAGCTTTCTGTCATGCAATATGTAGTTCAAATGAGCTTCCACATGAAAAGCAGCCTCCACTCCCACAAAAAAGCTTCATTAACCATTATTGGATAAGAACATTATTTTGTACAAATTACACTGGTCATGTGCATTTCATGTTAGCAGAATAGTTATATTTACCTTGCTTTTGTACCTTTCCTTAAACTGTATGAATTTGTTTATTATACTCTTTATTATACTATGTTTTGTTTCTTTGTATTTTGTCTCTATTCATATCATATATCCCTTGGGGAACTTATTGTGGCATATATGCATGTCCTAGGTATCCATTTGAGGGAAAATCTCTCCTTTAAAAGGAATGACTCTTGTATTGTTTCCAATTCCTTTCATTTGGATGTGACATTTCTTCCAAGTGTGTGTGTGTGCGCGCGTACAGTCAGCAACACCATGATTAGGAGATTCTAGGGGGCAAAACTGTGACATTCCATGGTAAACATTTTTTTTCCAATATGTAAAAATGGTATCAATTATGTTTTAGCAGACCAGAGAAGTATTGGGCGATTCATTAAAGCAATCAGCACTTTGGGTAGCTCCTTCTGTAACTAACAGTCAACCAACATCTCAAAAGAAAATTCACTAAATCCCCAATAAAGGTTCTAGAAAGTAAAGCTAACTATAAATAATTTTCTTCCAGTAGCCAAACTGTATTTTCTTCAGAAAATGATAGCAGCTTTAAGAGACAAAACTTATCCAATATTACCATTCATTTATTTGCATGGGCCACAAATTAACAATGTTAAAATATTTTACCACCTTCTTTGTTCCAGGACTAACCTAAGCATAAGCCTTAGAAGTACAGTGAGCAAAGTAAAACTCATCAAGATCCATTATATAATTTGGTTTATATGGGTGACTCAAGTGTTACTTTTACTGATGGTTTTGTAGTTTTTCTTGAATATCCAGTACAGAAAAGTAGAAGTAACTGAAAACAAAATTAAAACCACACCTTGTATTTCAACAGTGCACAGTAAGGAAGAGGAGGATGAAACAATTGTTAAGAATACAGGCAGCACAGAACAAATTCCACTATTTTGCTAATGGCCACCTAAGTGGAGGTATATATTAAGTTCATTCCTCCCCAGCACATTCTTGATACTTAACTGCAGTATCTATGTCTGTCTGTCTGTCTGTCTGTCTATGCTTCCAAACAGTTTAAATCAAAGCTAACCAACAGAATATCTTTTCAGAATATCTCCTCCTGTTAATTACAAGTAATCAGGAAAAAATAACATGGAATGAAGTCTTTCTGAATTCATTATTCTACTGAAACAGTTCCCCGAATAAGTTAGACTCTATCAACATATTATGGGAACTTTATATAGAAGTCACCAGGGAAATACAACGATGGTAGAGATACAAGTGTTCTGAATGTAGTTAAGAATTATTTGGAAGAAAATAGCACTCAGCTGGCAGCCTGATTATCCTTTACTGCAGCAACAGCCTTAATGTAAAGGCAAGGAAGCTTCCTAAAGTTTGGACAGCCAGTTTACGTAATTTCTATGAATTACAGGCCTAAGACAGAAAAACAATGACATAGTAATTAATTCCCTAGAGTTCTGCACCAGTTAAAGCAGGAAATACTGGTGTACAGAAGCCTGTAAGTCAAATTTATTTAACTTTGGTCCAAGACTAGTGTAAGATAACATTCAAAACCAGGAAATTATGAATTCTTCCAAATGTACTAATCCATGTGTACCGTGAGCAAAGTAACTAAAACATTAAATTCTAAAATTCATATAGGAGAAAAATCCACAAAAACTAACAAGTAAATTATGATTAAAATGTTAATGTTAAAATTATATGTGGTAATATATTCAGATTAAAACATAGAATAACTATATACCAATCAATCTATACTATATACTGTATCATTATAAAAGGAATAGTATAAATTATTCTATGCTATCTATAAAAGGAATACTAATATATAAGTGAAATAAAAGTAGTAAAATATTATTCTGTGAATAGATAACAGTAAGACAGTTCAACCAAGCGACTAGAAGCAAAGATAATAGAAATAGAACTATATAATTATGTAAACAAGGGTTTTGACAGATCTCTTATGGGTGATCAATTTCAAATGAATTTTACAAGCTGCTGTTCAAAACTTTGCATTGTTGTATGTTAGAATGGATCAGAAACTGAAAGAACAACAAAGAGATAAACTGATCAGAATAGCCAGGCAGCCTTGTAAATGTTGAGAACAGTCATATTTGAATGTCTTTATCAAATTAACAAGTCACATTCAACAGTCTCAGTGTGCTTGGACTCACAGGGATATAGCACTCCATCAGAGGAATTCTCCTGTATCTTCCATCAAGGACTGTCAATGAAGGAACATTACAGTGTGTCAAAATGAAGGCCTTTCTATGCTTAGGAACTTCTAGCTGTCTAAGATAAGCTATATGTATCTGACTATCAGTAAAAAGGAGAATGTGTGCTCTGACCCTTTATTTGATACTTTAGAAGTTATCTAGCCTACTCATAACCCATCAAAACCAGCTGGGAAGGAGAGAACTGTAATAATCCTAATTTTGCTGGGGATGATCACTTCTATGAGCACTAGAACCATCCTCTAGTATTAAAAGAACCAAACTAGTTGGGAAAAAGATAATCCTTTTGCCATAAGTAAAGCAGAAATAAACTGTAGCCACTACTTGTTTCCAAAGATAGGGGGACATTTGAAACATAACTGGGGAACTGAAATAGAGTACATAAGCTTGGGAAGGGAGTGTGCAAAATTAGGAAAAGCATCTAGTTGAGTATCATAGACAAGTTACACCAGCATATTTGCTCTGACAGTCTGAAGGTTGCTGGTCTATAACCAATAACTTTTGATTGTAAAAAAAATTAGGATTGCCTTTGAGCATTTTGAGCAACATTTTGAGTTACCCGAAGGACCATCTCACCCCCATTACATCAACCTTTCCCACCCAGTCAGGCAGAGAGGGCATGTTGCAGACCCTGTCAGCAAGAGAATGTTGACTGACGGGGCCCTGGAGGAGAGCTTTCTCTGCCATTGCCCCTAATATTCTCCCCCCAGATGTGCGGTGGGCCCCTACCCTCCCAGTTTTCCAGAAAGGATTTAAGACCTAGCTCTCTCAGCTTGCCACAGAGTTGTAATCAATCCTTGGGGTGGCTGGCTGTAACCAAGAAGCCCCAGACAACATTGTCCATAGAATCCTGGGACTTGTAATCCCAGTACATCAGGAAGCCAACAAGTTAGGGGAGGTTGCTATAAAGTGGGTAATTGCCTCAGCCATGGATCTAACCGCTCTGACAATTGTCATCGTAATTCTGCTATGTCTAATAGAGGATTCCAAAGTTCATTCCCTACACAGGAAGGCTTCCAAGAACACAAACAATCATTCTTTGAAACTAGTTGGTTTAAACATAGTGGGCATATTTACCAGAAAGGCAAGGAAGCAAAAGATTTTCAGAGCTTTTGGGGTTCCTGACATGGTTTACCTTTGGGGTACAACTGTTGATATATTACAAAAAGCTGGGTGTAGCTCTCCAGGCAATAGTAGTACTACATTCTTGCTAAATAGCCTACAGATTATACACTGCAGTTTTAAAAAAATTATAGGAATCCAAACATCCTCCTCTTAATAAAAATCTAAGGTGCACCTGCAAATAATTATTCATTTAAAATAATCACAATTTCCCAAATCTTTCAGGAAATGCAACTGTAAATGAGATACAGCTCACTATAACTATACATCAGGCTGGGCAAAACAGTTTTAAAAGGTTTTAAAAAATTGAAAAGGGTTTTACATTTTTGTAATGAAGTAACAGCTATCTGATATGTTCTATATATTGAAAGTAACAACCATCACGGTGCTTAATGACAGTAAATCACTTTTCAATTGTTCTTTTCCACAAAAACTATAATACACATACATAGATATTTCAGTATATCCAGTAACCGCAGACCAAGCTAAAGGCTAGGCTATTCTTCATTCGAAGATGGCCAACTCCTTGGTATTTAAGGGTCAACAGAAGTTATATATTTATGATAGCACTTCACCAGCCAAGCTTCTACAATAAAAAGATTCCTCTTCTGAGATATTTCCTATTTTGCTTCCAGAACAGGGGCATAGGTTAAGGGAGAATCTGCTGCTCTTGGAAACATATCAAGCAATCAAATGATTTTTCAACCATTTTACTAAAAGCTAGTTCTAGGACAATCTTCCCTCTACTTGGTACCCTCCAGATACATTGAGATATATTTTTGCATACCTTGTCACAAGGTTACACATTTGGAAAGTACCAAATCACAGAATGCTTTTCCAAGGTATCTAAAGCTAGACATTCTCAATGTACTTATTATCAGAAACACCTGAAGAGCATGTGTGCTGGCACGACTATAAATACAGCCATTAGTATTTTTTAAACAATTCTTAAGATGAATGTTGGCTAGTTCACTGAGGTCTTTTGGCCAACTTTTCCGGCTTTGCTTTCAAAGGTCTCCTGAAGGATAGTCTTGCTGCCAAAAGAAGATTTGGAATATTCTTTCAGCGACTCAACACAGAATTTGTTCAACCTCAGACTGCAGGCGAGACATAGAAGCCGTACCATTGTGCTAACATACATCTAAATATATGCAATTACACAGGTGCAGTTCCTATTATGATCGTTCCTGAATGAATGTGTTATTCAGAAAGCAAATGTGCTGGGGGAACAGAAAAAAACAGCTACTTTTGTCTGCTGGGGGGCACAGGCAAACAACAGCAAGACCATTCTTCTAAAAGGGATTCAATTTTACTAAGCAGTGTAGTATCAGCACATTATTTTTGTCAAGACTGATTTATGCCGTATCCTTTTGCAAAAAGGACGAGAAGTTGAACTAAGGAAGCCAGAACAGCCTTGTCCTTCTTATTTTTGCTGCAACTTGCTTCCCTTCCCTTGTAATGGTGGAGTAAATGCTTGGATGCTTTATTTCACTGCTTTCTGCAGCCAGGGAAGAGGAATTTATGGAATTTTCTGTCCGGGGCTAACCAGCATACCTTGATTTGAGATGGGGCCTCATTTGCTGCCTTGCCTCGGGCAGTGAAGAGTTTTGAGGCTGAGCCGCCAGCTTCCCAGCGAAGACCCTCTCATTTTTTTTCCTCCCGCTACACACAAGGCAATCTTTTCCTTTATGCCGTGCTTCCCGTTTCACCCGCGCCCAAAGACAGAGCCGATCCTTGTTTCAGTAGGGCCCATTTTCCGGGGTTGTGGAACGGACATCGAAGCCCGCCCCATACCTTTAAGGCCACCCAGACAAGAAGAGGCTGCCTTCGCGCAGGCTAAGGACTTCTCCGGCCCCGTCACGCGGGGCTTCGCATCATTACAACCAGCTTTCCCAGAGCGGTTTCAGAGATCCCCTCGGCGAGCGTGAAAGAAAGCGCCAGCAGAAGGTGGCTCATTTCCAGCCAGAAACGCCGTCCGTGGCGAGAGCGGAGCGGAACCTTCCCAAGACAGCAGGATCCCCGTTACGCTTGAAGCAACCCCGGCCCCACGTTCCCCGCGAAGGTCCCTTTCGCAAGGCAACCCGGAGCCGTCTCGGTGGAAAGGAAGGGGTACCGCCGAACCCGCCACGGAGCAGAAACGGGGAGACGAGCCGGGTCCCCCGGGAAGGGAACCCCACCCGAAAAAGCCCGCGAACCCCGACGCTCCCCGCCCAGCCCTCCTCGCCGGAGGCAAGTTTTCCTTGCCGCCCCCGCCACGCTTACAGTTCCTGATGTCCGAGATGAAGACGGCCAGGCCGCGCATCCCATCCCCCTTCGACACGGCCGGCATCTCGACGCCGAAGCAGAGCTCCCACCGCCACGACTGCTGCCGCGATCCGCGCGAAGGACCTTTAGCCTCCGAAGCCGCCTTGCCGCCCCGCCTGAGCGCAAGCGCGACGCCTTTCCGTCTTCGCCTTCCTATCCCGGAGCCGCTAGGCAGCGCCTCGGGGCGCCACCTCGTGTGCGGAGGAGGGGATGTGGCGGCGGGGATTGGGCCCAGGGAGGCTGCCCGGAGCGACGCTCCATGGCCTCACTGGCTCCTCGTCAGCAGCAGCCGCAACAGGGCTCTCCGCCCCAAGGGAGAGACCCCGCCGAGCGCCCTGGGCTTTCCCTCAAGACGGCGCTTATCCTGCTGCAGGAGTAGGAACAGGTGTTGATCCTTTCTAGGCTGGGCGGAAGAAACCAGCCGCACAGCGCCGTCTCTGCCATGCCCCCGCTGAGAAATGAATCCGCCTGAGCGTTAAAATTGGATTTGGTTTGCCATCTTCAAGCCTTCTCGTGAGTTTAGCCTTCTGGACATAATGGGATATTCCTGAATAAGCATCCAGAAGTTTGCTCCATGACTGCCTTGTCGGTACAGGATATAAAAGCGCAATCTTGCACGGCTCAGTAGTAAGCCCTATGACATTCTGCAGAGAGCACACTATACTGTTTAGTTCCATTACTTAAAAAAAAAAAAAACAGAAGCCTAAATGTGGCTTGATTATAGCAGATGGGAGAGATGAGGCTACAGGAAGCTTGGTTACAACTTTTGAAATTCAATGGCCTTTCAATCAGCATGTTAAATCGACAGCTATCACTTTCTTTTATTCAAATATTACAATATCATGTATATGGTTCACTGCAATTAAATCAAAATAGACTATATAATAAAGTAATAACAATAGTAATACAGCATCTCACTTATCTTCCAAGCCTCTCTATATAAGAAAACTCATTTCTTGTGCTATATCATGGAAACCCTAGAATTAGATGCTGCTCTTCCAAAAATATTTTTATAGTGTGAATCTGGGTTTTAGCACCTCTCCTGGGCATGCAGACTTCCTTAATCCTCTCTTTTTCTATAAACATCACCAAACTTAGGACAGTAGAACAGGTTTTTCCATAAGTATCAATATTCATAAATTCCATAAACAACACTCCCCCCCCAATGTTTCAGTTAAACATGTTGCATGAAGAACTTTCTATGTCCATTCCAATGTCCAAGATACATTGGTCTTAAGGACCATGTTTTAACAGGCATATTAGTTAAGCAATAGTGACATGATGTTATAATCCTGTGCTGGCCCACAAGTGCCAGCTTCCCCACTATGCTGTATTCTGCGGGAGAGGGATGGATCTAAATCACAGACTGGTTTGTTGACTGATGGTAGATGCAAAGAGTCTATATAAGTGAAGCTAGTGTGCAATGTCATGCTGAAGGTATCTAAATAGAAACGACCTTGACAAACTCTAGGACTGGGTAACCTACAGTTTGCATACATTTTCCACCTCAAAACTGGTATGGATCATTCTTAATTCCCTTATATCCCTTCAGTCAAGTCTGGTCTGATTCCACCATTCAAAGATTGATATAGTCATTGGGTGGGAAAAGGTTGCATATCCCTGGACTAGGACTTTTACTTCTACATCCCCTGATGACTCAGCATGAGGTCACTATGGCCAGTCTTTTCATCATTAGACTTTCTATCAAATCACAATAGCCAGTCCCTCTTCTTCAGGTAAGCAGCATCCTCAGGAAGTCATTCTGGCCAGCTCCAGGGTGAATCAAAAAGACAGTGTCTGTTTTTCAGACTACAGAATCAACACGTAGTTCCAGTGGTTGATTTCTCTCTACTTCAGACAGCAATGCCGGCTTAGAAAGGTCAGTCCCTCCTACAGGCATTCAGCGCTGGCTAGGCTTGGAAGTTGAAAGGTCAGACCAAGGAAGCAATAGCAAACCACTTCTGTTTCTCTTGCCAAGAAAACTTATTGCCACAAGAAGAAATGGAATTGCAGATCCGCCCCCCCCTCCCCGAAATGGAAGTTCTTCGTCCTTGTTCTTTTTGAAAACAAAACTATAGCCCTATAGCTCAGCGAGCCAACACAAGAATCTATTAAAGGTACAGCATTATATGTAATGGTTGAACTGATCATAAGAAACTTACAAGGTGATTCCTAGTAGTACCATACTTTCTATGAGAAGAAAAAAGGCAGAAGGAGTGGTAACAGCCTGAGTTCTACAGGAAGCATGGGGCTGGGGTGGGGTGCTCTCCCCTCATTTTATTCTCACAACAAAAATGGTATTAAGTAGGTCAGTCTGAGAAATAGTAAGCTAGCAACTGGTGCAAAGACAACTCATGAGCTCCAGAGTCACAAACCCAGCCACACTCAGTGCAACAGATATACTACATTGGCCTTATTCCTCCCAAATGCTAGCTTGTGTCTACTCAGAGGTAGAAGATATTGAATTCCATGAATTTCTAGGCAAGAGTGCATGGGATTTCAACCTTACTGGGAAATTAGCCCCAATTAACTTGGTACAGCTTTGCAGGAAATTCCAAATTAGTCTCTCAGATTGTACATTTGCACATCCTTCCAAGGACAGAGAGAACTTTGCGATACAGTAACCAACCATGCAATTTTTGGCAGAATGATGCAGTGAATTGGATGAGAATTTGTAAAACTACTTTGAATGTTTCTTCTCAAATACAGAAAACTCTAACTCCTTGTTGCCAACTAGTGGTCATGCAACTTTTTGCAGCTCAGATCTGGTAGCCTGAATTTTGATCTAATTGAACTAATTTGTCTGGATGGAGTAATTGAATTCAGCTAATGGAATTAATTCCCCTTTTACATCACCAGCTTCCTTCATCACGTCCTTTTTATGAACGTTTTGTGCCATTTTGACCGGTCTTAATAACGTGAACTCCCAGTTAGGGATTGTTACCCAGCCTTTTTATTTATTTTTTATAATTGTTATTATTACTATTGTTATCACCACACACTCTCTCTCTAATGTGGCTATTTTTAGATTTTGTTTTGTTTTGTTTTGCCATTGCAATACACTGTTATGTTTATTGTGCTTAAGCCTGTTTAATATCCTGAGGTGTCTCTCAGTTGTAAGCCCGCTGTCTCGGAAGCGGTCCTCCAGTAAGGAGTACAGTCCTAGCGTATGACCTGAGGCATCTCTCTCGATCCTCCTCGGTATCCGCCACTTTATTACGAAGACACATTCCCTTGTCAGGAAAAGACAACAGAACGGCCCCTTTAAAAGGCGTGCGCCCCTTGCCTCTGAAGCCCTTGCTTCACTTCCGAGTCGTGGCAGATCCGGTTTACCGAAGGAAATCAAGGGCGCGAATACGAGTCCCTGAAAAGGTGGGAGGGGATTTCAAAAGGCAAGCTAGCTAGTTTCCCGCGTTTAAGAGGAGAGGTTGTGGCTGCGGCTGCGGCCGCCGCGTTCAGCGAATGAAAGCGGCGTGAGTCGTTGATCTTGAGGATGTGATCTGGCTGCTGGGCTAAAGAGAGAAAAGTCGGGAAGGAAGCCTTGCTCTTCCTTGTCCCTTGTTTCCCTCCAGCTTTTGAGGTGGAGGAGGCTGTGTTTGCATATTCCCGCCGGTGGATTAGGGCTGCCCCCCACCCCCGTTTTGTCTCTCCACTGTCGCAATTGCATGGGTTGAGTCGAGCTGCACGCAACGGATCGTCCTCTACTCATAGCCCTTCAAAACGTTCTCTTCCTGCTCCCCGGTGGGATTCCCACGCGGTAGCAGCCTATCCACAGCTCTGCGCCTCCAGTGTTGTAATGGGAAGGGCCGGGACAGGCCACCCTTTCTGGAGGAAACAGGTTGAGGACTCTGCGCTAAAGTGGCCAATCGCCTAGGCGCGTCATTTTGCAGAGCGGTGGGATTCAGTTGCGCGGGCCGCTGGGATCCCTCACTGGCGAAGCCATAATCTGGTTTGCTTGTTTGTGGCTTCATGCGGTGCAGGCTCACAGCCAGGGAGTGTAGTAATGGTGGTTTCGACTCTATTTCTAGACCCGATAATGGCTGAGTGAACCCTATTGAGCTCACCAAGGGCTAGTAGCTTTCGTGCGGTGGGTGGGGGGTGGGTGGGGGTTGTATTTGTGAATTAATGCTTTTGGGGAAGGTAACATTGAAATACAGTATTACCTAAAAAGAGTTGTGCCAATGTACACAAATCCAAATTCTGTGGAATTTGTATAAAGGAATTGATGAGATGGACTCCTCTCTTGCTGATGGAAAAGCAAGTGACAAATAGGTCTTTATAACTCTTCTGCAAAATCCTCTTGGATTTTTGTACTGAGGTGTTTTCAGGTCTTTCCCTGGCTTTAACTTTTAAGCTGTGGGTTGGTTGGTATCATTTTGAGGAATGTTCTAAAATTGTAAATTACCCGCCTGGTATTTTTGTAATGGAGAATGGAATAATGTAAACCGTTTGACTAGAACTGTTAGCCAGTAAATTGGGTGGGGAATGAAACAGTGGGCTGTGCCCATCCTTCCACAGTAAATTCACACTAATAGAATTTTCTGTGGGCATGACCTCGCTTCCCACTACATCTGGGAGTGAGGATTGCTGTGATTTGTTTTAGCTAATAGCTTCAAACCAGATTTTGCATCTAAAATAGTTCTATTGTTTTTAAGTAATGTGTCTCAATGTGTATTTTAGAAGAGGGAATGCCCCATTTAAGATGATGCTTGAAAGCTCATTGTTTTGATGGCACCTTTTAAATTAAAGTGTTTTCTAAAGCCTTATCCAATTAACTAAAGTTTGCAGCCTTTCATTGGGTGCTGTCTGATTTCCACAACGGAGGCTATAATTTCCAGACAATTGACTTGAGTAAATCTGTCAGAGCAAAAACATTAGTTGTAATGGATTTTAAAAGATAACAGATTGATTATACTATATGCCTTTGTGGATTTAGAGCTATAAACGTTTATGCCACAGTAATTAGTCTACTGAGGCTTGCAAAATATACTGTGTTTTTCAAAAGGTATGCATATTATTTTTTTAAAAAAAATAATACTTAAAGCTTCCTCCTTGATGTCACTTGAAATGGAGCAAAGCCTGTTAGTCTATTGCTGAAGACACTAAAGAATGTAATCTCTAGCAGGCTCTTTCTAGC